GCGGCTGAAGAGGATGGGAACCCGGAGTTTGGAATCGAAGAATCTGAGATTCATAAAAGATGAAGAAGAGAAGAAGAACTTCGAAGCCAGTAATGTCTGGTGGTCAATATTAGTCTTTCTATTAGTTCCTAATGCATTCCTTTTTTTGTTTCAGGTACAAATGCAGAAGCAAGTCTTTCGTCTTCATGGTAAAACGTCTATTTGTCAAAAATTAGTCCTATTATTTACTAATGCCTTTATTCTTATTTTCAGTTACTCATCAGAAAGAAATTATCACCTGTTCTCGTCATCCTCGTCTTCCGCGTCCTCTGTCTTCTCCAAAATAACCCCCGTAACGCTCTTCGACTCCAGAGGCACGTCCTCGTCCAAGAACATAGATGGCGTGGGTTTTATAATTTCATAAACCTCTTGTACAACTGTGTCCACAGTTGGCTCCTTTTTCTGTTTAGTTTCATCAATAGATTCGATAGTCGTTTCCGCGTTAGTTTCTGTTATTGTCGAAGTCCTCGTATCGATGGAAGTAGAGCTCCACTCCTGATTCTCTTCAGGAACTTCTTCATTCGTTTCTTGGAGTACGTGGACGTCTTCTGGTGACTCGTAGTTTGCCTCTGGTGTCGCGTAGTTTGTTTCTGGCGTCTCCTGATTCACCTCAGACGCCTCCTGATTGCTCGAGCTTTCCTCTGTTACCTGAACAGTGGCGCCTGTCGATTCTTCAGTCATCTCGCTGGACTTAGTTGAGATTTCTCCCTCGTTTGACGCGTCTTCTACGTTCGGAGTTTCTTCGATCTTTGATCCACACTGTGTCTTCTTTTCCTGAGCTTCTTGAGCCGTGGTCGTTTCTGAAGCGGCAGTATTTACTTCAACGTCTGTCTGATTGTATGCTATGTGACAGATAGGTTTGGGTAGAGGAGTGCTAGGGCCTTCCATTCCTTCCTCCGACTGGAGGAGCTTCAGTTGCTCCACTGTGTGAAATATCACCTACGCAAAAGTTTGATTAGAATGTATGTTCAAAGAAATAAGTAAAATCAGTTAGATATCGTTAGGACTGACGGGCCCGATGACGCTAATCCATTAGCTGAGGGTTAATGTCAAATGGCAATGCTTCCGTTAAAGAACTCGAAACGAAATACTCTTCTTTATTTTGTCACTCGGTTCGAATTTACTTTCTGAACGATTTTATCCTCCTCTATCCGAAGTGCACGCCGTGCACGCTGTTAGGAATAATGAAACCACGTTGACGTCACGATCAGACCAGTTCCAAGTGCGAAAAGCATTCCACGCTTAATGAAATTGTCGCTGCGCAGTCGACGTAAATTGTCCTAAGCAAAAGCGGGAGGATACACGATTAATTAAGCGCGAGACTTACCTGCATGGCTGCGGGAAGGTACGCGTTCGTGTAGAATGGCTTCGAAAAAGATGGCGGATTCTTAATCACCCCGCCGATAGCCTGGAGCAATGAATTTCCATTAACGTTTGAGCCCCGGCATTTATTGTGAGACATAAAACAGAGATTAAAAGCAAATTGGCGTTAAAAGCGCAGATGGCTCGGAACTAACGACGGGCGAAATTCTCGTATGGGAAATTCAAGACGTAAGGAAGGCTCTAACGGGGATGACAACCGCTTCTGCTCTGTAAGGTATTTATATTTCTCGTAAGACTACAGTTAAGAGTCACCCTGATCGCGTGACGCACCCAGTATATCGGAGGAATTTCCCCGTGAAACTTTTATGACGTGTTTCAGGGGTTCGTTCATGGCAGTCCGACGCAGCAGCTTCTCTCGCAAGTTCGGCCCCTAAGGTGTAACTCGGAGGGATAATTAACTCCGACGGTCACGGAGAAAGTTTGCTGGTATCTGATAATCGCGTCTCGCGATTCCTCGGAATGGATAAAGCTACGAAGAAACCTTTGCAACTAGGGCTAATTAAACACCAAGATGTCTCTCACCTCGTGGAGTATAAAAATCACGAAGAAGCTGCATATCGCCTTCATCCCGGTGCCCTCGTGATCCTCGACTTTTCAAGGTTCGATTATCCGAACAAATATACCTCCCACTAGCCTCTCAACGAAACTCGTTCAAAAGTCTTGTAACTCTTTTCAGCTTGGAACCCCTTGAAGGACAATGAGGAAAGGTCACACTTCGAATTGGACTTTAACCTGGATGTCCCATTACCGTTCCGTCGCAGAATCTAACCGACGAGGTCTATTCAAGTAAGTTCCGCACTGTTCGTTCGCTGATCGCCAACTGGTCGCAGTTCGACGGGTCGAAAAATCGCGGGACTCTTCGTGTTCGATGTTTTCCTCGACCGGATCTCGGGATTCGCGGTCGAGCGTCGGGGCAAGACTGGTCTCGAAAAGACGCGGTAACGGTTCTGGCTCGTCCTCGGCGCCGTCTGTACTCGACGTGATAGCGTGCGTGAACGAGCTCTCAGGAGTGCCGATCGCACGACGAGGAAGTGACACTTAAATTAAGTTGCGATCGGTATGCTGCGCGTGTCCGCGAACCAAACGACGCTTTTTCCGCTATGCAACCGGCTACATTCGCGACTCTCTGTTATAGATCACGCTTTGGAACTGCTAGCGCGAAACAGACCTTGCTAATTGGGATTTGTATATCAGATGGATCGAATCGGACTTGCCATCGACTGTGCCGATTAAATATATTTTACCGACTGCGTCGTAATTTCTCCTTTCATTCACGGTAATAATGTAGGTCAGATTGATCGCGTTTCTGAGACTACTGTCCGAGATGTCTTTCAATCGCGTAACTGTTGTTATTACTATTCCAGGTTCTGGTACCCCTTCCTCCTCGTTGCTGACAGCAGATATGTAGTAAACCACCTGGGGCCTTGATTTGTCACATTAATAATCTTCTAGGCTAGTCCAGTTCTTTCCTCTCACCTCTTCTTGATTTTATTGAAGAATCACGTAGCCTTCGCTGGGTTCAACACAAGTTCAGTTACAAAAGTGTGCATACGGCCCAGCATACCAGACCAGAATAGTATTTAAAAACGCATTCTTGAATAGGGTACATCATCTACCAGAACATGATCTCTCACGATCTGCTTTCTACTTCGCTATTCGTTTCGACCACCAGGAGATAGTAATTTCCTCGAAGACCGTTGGGAGGTATTCGTAGAATGCTATTTGCCGGGAACAAAAATAAGAAACGAGTTTCGAGGAGCGAAACAAAATAGCCAGTAACTTTCATTCTCGGAGGATTGCGACCTTGGCCAAGGCCGCCGTGACGAAAAAGAACGAAACACGACTCTGGACCACAGCTTCAAGGCGATTCGGTTATGGAATCCGATCGAATACAATCGAAGAAAAGGTCGACCAGTTTTTGGATCGATTCGAGGCTCCCGTTCGATACAGTTCCCTCGATTGTGAATCGTGGCAAACGACGTTCGACAGGAATCACTTCGCTGAAGTGTTACGCATACCAGCAGGATGTAAGTATAATTTGGCAATTGTGTTCTTATCAGCGAGGTATGAGGGTGCCCCGATGCGATATGGGGTGTCCTAAGCGCTATATATTGAACGCGCTGCCTCGGATGATTATACAGTTGTTTGGATTGTCTCGTTTCGTGCCTCACCGAAGCTTCTGAAACGTGTTGTTTCAGGATCCCGTTTTCCACCGCTACCTGGAGAATCTATTTTAATCGCGATGTTGGCGAAGGCGTTTCTACTGCTAACCGTGATGGTAAGAGCATTATTTTCTTGATTTTATTAAAATAACCGATATCCGTGAATTTTTGATCAAATCATACCCACGTTTCCATATATTTTGCCATTTTAAGCGAGTCAACTTGTATTTCCTTTAACCTGCCAACTTGTATTTCCTCCTCTCACTGTTTTCTACTTTTGAATATTCAGGTCGCTGGAATGTACGCGAAGCCAGTGGTTCAGTCAACCAATGACTCCAGCAAAATCGATGACGGAACGCTCGCAGAAGTGAAAACTGAGGATGAAGAGGTCATTACATCAGTTTTCAACGACGGAGGCGCTGAAAACGTAAGTCCATGAAAAGTATTTCCATACCGTTGTTTCAACTCCGTAAATAGAACTCTATACCTAACCAAATCTGACCTCCGTAACACGAACGGAACAGAACTTCTCTACGTATATTCTATGCAAATCGTGAGGGTCCTCTTAACATCAGCAAATGGTACTCCTTATTGTTCCCAACTCGAGTCTAACTCAGCACATAGTCTAAGCTAACCCAGAGCTATATCTGATCTACAAAACAAAAATGAGTCGTTGCTTTTGTGGAAATCCAAGGTGTATGGTCTAGGCTAAGCTGAATACTCGCATGTTTCACAAGAACCACAGGTGATGCGTCAGATTTCTTCCAGGATCTTCCATACCGTTCCTAACTTGTCCTCATTGACCTCGGAGACAAAATTCGATACCAACCCCATTTAAAAGCGAACTGACTGTCGTTCATTTCCAGACTCTTAGCTCCACGACAGCGAAACCAGGATTGCTCACGTGGTTTCTCACGCCTCTGACGCAAAACTTCCAATTCTCTCCGCAATCGTTCCTGAAGGACCGTATCACCAATTTGAAAGAGAGCCTGGGCAGTCTGAACGTGCAAGGGCGCGAGGACACCAAGGCCAAGCAACTGTCCGCCGCGACTGGCCTGCTTCAGATTGCCGGCCCTAGCGATTCGGGATTTTATACGAACAGACTCGAGCCAGCTGGTTTTTTCGGCGGGAATGGCTGGCTCGCGAACAAGGGCGGGATTCTCGGGGGTCCTGGGGCGATTCTCTCAACAGGCAGCCTTCTCACGGATTATCCTACGCCGTACAGGAGGAAGTAGAGATGAAATCGCGGGTGATGCCTCGCTGAGGATAGAGGCGAAGCCCTCGAAGGTATCAGGGAATTTTGTTATCGGGCGAGGATAGAGTTTGCGACAGGATAGCGTAGCAAATGGAAAATGCATGACGTATATTCGCGTTGCTATTAGATATTCTGTAAAATTATGGAAGGATCTGGTTTTTGCAATGGTATCGGAAAATCCTAGTTGGTTCTCGGAAAATTGTGTTATAGGTTACGATCAATATATATTACATTTTACGTGGCGTTAGTATTCTTTTGGAATCGATTGAGAAAAAGATACACCGCGTTTGTAATGTTTTTAGAAATATCTACTTCTCGGTATCGATAGGTTCTCTTGGAATTTATTCTCATCCGTTTTAACACTAAACCTACAGAGCTTTCATTTGTACCTATTTCTGCTGCGATCGAACAAGCGACTTCCAATTTAATTTATATATTGTATATACAATTGTATGCGAAAGTTTAGAAACGGTCAAATTACTGTTGGTAGGTTTAGTGTTGAAGATGCCTTATAATAAATGTTATTGACTTTCAATGTTCTCCGTTCCTTCCCATCGTTTCTTATATTTTCTTTGCGTATTGAATTTAATTAAATACAGCCTTGAGAGTGATCGAGAAGCGGAATTAGATGCGTGTATAGGACGTAAACAAAAACAGGGGATCTTCTCAATAATGGCCGTGGCAATTTCGCGAAAATTGTTATGACGCGCGCAGAGGCCCACGCTGATAACAAAGTTTTAACAAGCTGTCTGTAGTCCCCCGGTTTCAAGCATGCAATACGTGTCGTACAATGTGCACGCACCACTGCGCCGGATTTTCTCTAGCATCAATTGTTATGAGCTGTGGAACGTATCGTGGAAAATACGCGGCACCACGGAGGATGAATTCTGCGGCGGGTCGGTTATCGGAAAATGAAATAATATCGGATATCCTCTCCGTTGGTAATTCTCGCAGTTTACAGGATCGTTCTATAGCCGCGAGACTCGTTCGCTTCGAAAGGAATATCCTTTACGTCAAATTGAAATTCGATGTGATTAATCAAACCTGGGAACCCCTCGTCGCGTTGCAATTAAGATCGATTTTCGATTGCTCCTTTGGGTCCGGGTAGAAGTATCCATCGAATATCGAATCTTTCTTTACGGAAAATTCTTATTTATCCCTGCTCGTTGTCTTCTTTATCTTTCCTGGAATTCATCAGATATTAAAGAAAAGATGTAGCAATTTGTAACAAAAAATACCGAGTCGTCCGTGGAATTCGTTTTTAAACTCGTCGAAAATATTCCGAAGTTTAGATCGAAATTGTACGATTAATAAAAATTTGTTTCGCACGTCGGCGCCGCGATTGAATAAAATTTCCCTCGAAGCACGAGCAACAGCTTGAGCTTAACGTCGTAGGCGTCAATCGATAAACCACAGCAGGAAAGGTGGAACGCTGGGGCTGGGGGTCATAAACGTCCATTCTTGTCCATAGTTTTAGCTCAGTCAGTCGGTTAAGTCGCCAAAGTTCCCGCGGTGGGAG